GAGTCAGATTCCCAACATGATTGCTTTCTTAAAAATCGAAAAGGCACCGCTCTCCCAATCTCGAGAGCCAGACTCTCAACAGGATTACATGCTAAAAAATCGAAGAGGCATCGCCCTCCAAAATCTCGAGAGCCAAACTCCCAATAGGATCACTTTCTCAAAAATCGAAAAGACACTGCTCTCCGAATCTTAAGAGTCAGACTCCCAACAGGATTGCTTTCTCAAAAATCGAAGAGGCACCGCTCTCCGAATCTCGAGAGCCAGACTCCTAACAGGATTACGTGCTCAAAAATCGAAAAGGCACCGCCCTCTGAATCTCGAGAGCCAGATTCCCAACAAGATTACTTTCTAAAAAAATCGAAGAGATACTGCTCTCTGAATCTCTAGAGTCAAACTCCCAACATGATTGTTTTCTCAAAAATCGAAGAGGCACCATTCTCTAAATCTCGAGAACCAGGTCCCCAACAGGATTGCTTGTTAGAAAATCGAAGAGGCACAGCTCTCCGAACTTTAAGAGCCAGATTTCCTTGGATAAAGCTTGTCTGCAATCTTCACACGCAACATCAGCTTTCCAGATACCACATACCACTTTTTCAAAGTGCTCTGACAAAGTTAAAACACGTGAAGCTTGCAGCTCCCACTACATTGCTATGACTAAGAAGGGTAAAGGAATAGCACTATTACTTGTTGTTAGGGAGACTCTTATATATGTCGACCTCCATCCTCCACAGCCAGGCAAACCTGCAAATAAAAAAATGCTCAACTTTTCTTCACATCTGAGAGGGCACTCTCAATAGAGTTTCTCAAAATACTCAACTTCTTTTCCTCCCAATAATACCTCTGCAAACAAGCCATACCAAAGCAAGAGTATCTCATATCATCAGGGTTAAAAGCAAGAGTATCCCATATCATGCTTTTTCCCTGTCTTTTCCTTTGGCCTTGTTCTTTCCTGCAAGACAAGGAGAAAGAGAGCAATCAGTCAGCACTTGGAATCAAGCTTCCAATCAGGAACTAACTGCCTGGAACCCCTTGCCTGATTACTTACCTGGCATTGCTCTCGATTACTTATCTTCAACATCTTATGCTTCCAGAGAAGATACCATATCTGCCTGAGGAATAAATACGGCAAATGAGAAGGATATAAAGAAGCATGTGGAGACAAGCGTAACAGAACATGTGCCGATACATCCACTACTTTGTCAACAGCAAAAGTATCCCATATCATCAGGGTCGAACATACTCTAGATTTGATGGAATTGTTTTGACCCTCAAATTCTTGAGTCGGCCTTATACTCTGGAAGAAACCAGAAAACCCTCCAGCCCAGTTTAAGAATAAGCCTGTGGAAAGTTACTTCTTCAAAAGCAAAAGTATCTCATATCGTTTCTTCTCCATTTGCTTCTCCTTATCCTTGTTGCTGTTTACGACATAAGGAGAATGAGAACAATCAACCGGAAGCCGAAGTCAAACCCCCGATCTAGGTTGCTTGCTTGGAAGTCTGATTGTTTACCTTGTCTGTTACCTCCTTTGATAAATCTCCAAGCTCGGCAACTTGGGGGACTCCTATTATAAGGTTTGTATCGCACTTGACCAAGCCCGAAACTACAAATAAGCTTCAAGTGAAATTGATACATTACCTTGTGCATCTTCATCGGTTAAAGATACCACCCCTGGATGGAGGAAAAGTAGTTCCAGAGAAGATGCCTCATCTACATATGAGACAGATAAGGCAAGTGAAAATGATACCACGCTTCGGTACTTAGAAGTTTCGTGATTACTCAATGGCTTGGATCTTGCAAGTCCCCAACCGAGGAGCTTCTCTCACTCAGGAACTTAGGGGAGCATTGTTTGTACCATACTTGACCAATCCCGAAACTACTGAGCACCGGTCAATGTTATACCATCAAGGACCCAGAAGAGTTTCCCTCCAACCAGAAGGCCAATCATAACGCGACATGTGTTAATATCAGAAGCCAATCATAGCGCGACACATGTCAACATCAGAAGCTAATCACAACACGACACGTGTCAATGTCAGAATGAAACTAGAAACTCTCTTATATAAATAGAGATCATTCTCTCACAATATTTCTGAACCACGTACATCTTGTGTTTGCTTCCCTGTCTCTATCCATTTACATACTTATCCACACTAGTGACCAGAGCAATCTAGCGAACGTCACAAACTTGACACTTTCTGTTGTACCAAAGTCCTCACTGATTTTGTGCATCAACAAAAGCCATATCTCTTTTTTCACACTTGACACTTGTAATTTCATCATTATAGAGTTTCTAATATTTGACTTTCAATTTTGTAAGCTAAGGTTGGAGCAACTGCACCTTCAGTCAGGCAAAGCTCTACCTCCATTCCTTCAACTTTTCCTCCCTTGGTGGTGGCTCCCACTTCCCAGTTTGGAGGATACTACATTTTATGGAGGACGACAGCAATCCGGTGAGTACTTCTAGCTTGAATCTTTTTGTTTTAACCACTCTTTTTATTTATACTTATTTTCTCTCCTATTTTCCTAGCCATCCCCAGCGCAAAAGTTTCATCAATCATCTGTAACAGCTTTTGGGAACCCATAGTCCCTAAGATCCCTGTGGTCTCAGGGGTAACTAGCCCGCAGGCTTCTTCTCAACCGACAACCTTTACATAAGAGCTCTCTCATTCCATTCAAGATCTTACTTAGGTATAGAAGTATCCTTACTTTTATTTTTTTTTCTCCATACTTTAATTATTGACATTAACCTTCTCTCTTTGATATTTATAAGTCTCTAGGGAAGGTTTGGGCATCATTCCACCCTTTCAAGGAAGTGGGAATGATCCCCGTCAACCGTCAAATGAGATAACTTATCCATCACCTTCTACTAAGACTCCAAACTTAACTCAAGTATATTAACTTATTACCTTTCTGTTCTATGCCCTGATTTGTAATCTTTCTTCTTAACTTGTTTTTCTTGGTTTCCAACAGGGTCCTGGAGGGAGCTGGGGCAGATCTCCCCCACCTTTAATGCACACGATTGATTTTCCCCAGCCTCCTCTAGCTTTTGAGGTCATATGGATCCCTATCCCTAGGCCTAAGAAGAAGGCCAAAACTGCTGCTACCACTTCCTTTCCAGCTCATGCTTCTGAGATCTCTCATTTTTTGCCAACTAGAACTGCCCCCTCTTTTATAGCTGAAGGTGTTGGAGAAATTCCTCCACCTTTGTCATCTACTTCTTCAGCAGCATCTTTGCCTAAGCTTGTCAAAAGGTTCAAGCAAATCAAGACCAAGCTGCAATCTCTTTCACCTTCATGCAAGTCTCATCTTCTAAAAAATGCTCGTCAAATCTTCAAAGATTGGATGAAGAGGGACTTCACTGCTTTCTTCAGTCTCAAGATTCTTCATGATGCTGAGAAGGCCCTCACTGAGCTCTACAAAGCTCAGTTACTGTCAAAGGCTCAATATGAATCCTTTCTCAATTTCTTTGAGAATCTGCGGGCACTGAGGGATCACCATCAGAAGGTAGAGCAGGCATCCAACAAAGTTAAATGTTTCCAAGAAAAACATACGAAGACCTCAGCTACACTCTAACAGTTGGTGGAGGAAGGATCAGTGATGGAAGAGAGGATCGCAGTGGTTGATTCTGAGATTCAGAGATTGGAAGAGCAGCTTTCTTCACTCAAGGTCGAGAAGATGATCCTAACCAATCATGTTTTCAAGAAAGTAGAAGAAATGGAGAAGATTTCTCAAGAAGTGGAGGACTCTAAGAACCAGCTTGCCAATAGCAACATGTATCTAGGAAAACCAACCATAATTTTTACTATTATGCAAGCTTATTTTTCTAGAATAGCTGCCTTGCCTGAGGATGCAAAGTTGTTAGGCTAAGATTCTTGTAATTTTCTCATGAAATGAATTGAATCCTTTCTCCATCTTTATCCTATCTCATTTCCCTTTGAATTTTAACAGTAGTAATCTAACTCCAAAACATCCTCAACTCGCTTAGACCTCTTCAATTTAACAATCTCTCACATCCCATAAAGTTGGATGTTTCTGCAAGTTCCCCTCCAAATCTGCCAAGTAATATCCTGCCTTATTCAGCACTTGATTGATTATGAAAAGACCCTCCCAAGTAGGGCTCCATTTCTCAAAGCCTTTAACTTAAGCTCCTAAGGGTAAAATTGCCTTCTACACTAATTCTCCTTCCTCAAAGGTCTTCAATCTCACTTTCTTGTTGTATGCTCGGGCAACAACTCTCTTCCCTTCTTGAATTTTATTTAAAGTTTCAATTCGGGCTACATCTATATCTTCAACTCTTTGACACATAGCCTGAATGTATTATTCACTGTGCAGCCCAAATTGGTTTTAAATCCTAACAGAACTCACATTAATCTCCATGGGAAGTACAACATCTTGCCTGAAGGTTAGGGCATAGGGAGTAGTCCCAGTTCCTACCCTCTTAGAGGTTCTGTAAGCCCACAAAGTGTCTCCTAACTTCTCATACCATTTCTCTGGACTTTCTGCTACTATTCTCTTAATAATATTCACCAAGACCTTGTTGTTGGCTTCTGCTTGACCATTTAACTGGGGTAGTAAGGACTAGATTGGATTATCTTTATCTTGAACTTTCTTGCAAATTCTCTACTTCTTTTGAAATAAAAAATGGCCGGCGATCTGTAACAATTGTCTCGGGCACCCCATATTTGTGTAAGATCTTGGTTTCAATGAACTTCTTGACTGTAATTGAAGTGATAGTCTTCACAGCTGAAGCTTCCACCCATTTAGTGAAGTAATTTGTGGCCCAAAATTATTAATGTATGCCCCTGCTAGAAGCTGGGTAAATTTGCCCAATGAAGTCTATTGCCTATCCTCTGAAGGGCTAAGGTTTGATCACGAGGTTCAAGGGTACTGAAGGCACATGGTTGAAGAGGTTCATGTCTTTGACACTCCTCACACCCTCAGGCATAGGCCTTGCAGTCTTTCTCCATGTCGAGCCAGAAATAACCATATCTCCTGAGCAATCACCTCATCTTAGTCCCAGCGTAATGTACTCCACAGATTCCTTCATGTACTTCAGCCATGACTCTCATAGATTCTTCTTGGCCTAAGCATTTAACAACAATCCATATGAAGTTTTTCTTAATAGATTCTCCTCTCACACAACATACTTAGTTGTTTGTTGTCTATTATTCTTACTTGTGAGGAAATAAGGATTTTTCAAATATTGAATAATAGGTGATCTCCAATCTTGTATTTCTGGCTCTTTAGTCATCACATCTAGGTTGAATCATCTATCAAAGATAGAAGGGAGATCCCTCTTTTGCATTTCCACTTTTACCTTGAATATGTGCTCGATAAGCCATATGCGCCATCTCATTAGCCATTGCATTTGATTCTCTAGGGATATGACTAACTGATATTTTAGTGTCCCAATAACTCAACAATTGAGTGGTTGCCAAGTAATAACCAGCCATGGTGATCTGCCTACACTTGTATTCTCCATTTAGCTGATTGATTACCAACTCTGAATCACCAAACACTTGAACTTCAGTTGTCCCCAACTTTATCAAGATTTCCAGGCCAATTATCAAAGCCTCATACTCTACCCAATTGTTAGTAGTATCTTGACAGTCTAGGAGAAATGAATAACAATGGTAAGCACCATTGGGATCAATGATGACTATCTCGGCCCCAGCAGCATTTTAAGTTTAAGATCCATCAAATTAAAACTTACATGGAGTGATCCAAAGACTAGCTATCCTCCTCACATCTCGTTGTATCCACTATTCCCTGCCCAAGAGATCTTTGTTTGGTGGGATCCAAAGACTGGCTACCTCTAGAGTCCTTGGGATGTTGGCAAGATCGTCTTGTGATTCCTGATGTTCGGCCAAAAAGTCTGCAATTACTTGCCCTTTTATTGCTCTCTGAGGCACATATTGAAAGCTGAACTTTGGTAGTACTAGAATCCACTTTCCAATCCTCCCAACTAACATTGGTTTTGACGGCATGTACTTGATCACATCAGTCTTGGCAATAATAAGGACGTGGCAAGGCAACATGTAATCTCTTAATTTGCAGGTAGTGAAGTATAGAGCCAAGCATAACCTCTCCATTGGTGTATATCTCGTCTCTACCTCAATAAGGATTCTATTGAGGTAGTATATTGCTTGTTCCTTCCCACCTTCATTGTTTTAAGCCAGCAAGCTTCCCATTGACTTTTCAGAGGCAGAAATATAAAGCTTTAAAGGCTTCCCTCTTTGAGATGGCATGAGTATTGGTGGAGAAGTCAAATAGGCCTTTATTATGTCAAAGGCTTCCTGATGTGGTGGGCCCCACTCGAACTCTTCTTTGTCTTCCAATCTCAACAAAGGAGTTAGCAGTTGAATCTTGCCCACCAAGTTAGCAATAAATCTCCTAAAGAAGTTAATTTTTCCTAGTAGCTTGTGTAATCGTTCCTTGTTGGTGGGAGGCAGTGATTCCATTATTGCCCGAGCTTTATTTTTGTGAACCTCCACTCCTTTTTGGTGAACAAGGAATCCTAAAAAGTTGCTCAATCTCACTCCAAAAGCACATTTCTTAGGATTCATCTTCAACTTATGGGTTCTCATTCTTATCAAGGCTAGTTTGAGGTCAACTAGGTGCTGTTTTTCAGTTTTAGACTTCACCACAATGTTATCAATGTATACTTAAGTCATGAAAAATGGCATTCATGGCTCTCAAATATGTTGCACCAGCATTTTTGAGCCCGAATGGCATTACTAAGTATTCATATGCTCCAACATGACCTGGGCACCTAAAAGCTGTTTTATGTACATCTTCTTTAGCCATTTTTATCTGATTATAATCAACATTCACATCCATAAAAGATAGGACCTTGTGTTTTACAACTGCATTTATAGATAGGTCAGCCATGGGTATAGGATATTCATCTTTAGGTGCGGCTCCATTAATGTTTCTATAGTCAACACAACACTGAACTGCATTAGTTATAGCTTTTAATAAAGGTACAATGTTGGCCAACCACTTGACATATTTGGCAAGCCTAATAAATCCAGCCTTTACCAGCCGCTTAATCTCTTCTTTGACTTTTTCTTCAATCTTTTTTAACATCCTCTGTGGTGCTTGCTTCACAGGTTTATATCACTCCTTAATAGGCATTATGTGTTCTACTAAGGTTGAATCTAAACCTGGCATCTCGGTAATGCCAAGCAAAACAATCTTTAAACTCGTGCAGAAGGCTAACTATCTTTGCCTGATCTTCCTCTTCTAATAGGCCACTGATCTGTATAAGCCTTGGATATTCTTTAGTCCCCAAATCAATGGTTTCTAAGGGGTCTTGTACCTTTAGTGATGACTTGTCTGGTTCTGCACACAAAAATTCAACTAACTCTAGACTCTCGGGCAAGTCTTCTAGCCTATCAAGGTCAAATATACATTCCGCCATCTGGATGACCGCTTCTAACTCTTTCCCAAAAAACTCTTATTCACCTCTGTTCTGGCTGCTTGAATCTTCTTCTTGTTGTTCCTCGGCCAAGCTCTCCCTTTCTTGCTTTCTCTCTTTCCCATACACCAACAGTCATTTGATTAAGGACCTGACTCCAACTACTTGGTCTTTTCTTATTTGTTTTAACATATTGGTATTAGGGAGTTGGGATAATATAGGGCTTATCCCATTCCTCCCTTGTAAGGAACAATCCTTGCTCCCAAAGGTTTTAGGCCGTCACCTTAGTCGGGCGGCCGTTCTCATTAGCTTTTGCCACATTGGTTGTGGGGAGGAATGGTCGTGACTCCACTATCTCCCAAAATCCTGGTCTCATTGCTCTTTCCTCATGGTAAACTGCTATCTGTTGATACAGGGTGGAAGGCACAAAGATACTCTGATGAATCCAATCTTGGCCTAACAAAGCTCTATAGGAAGAAGTATTGTCCACAACAAAAAAAGCTAGCATGATTTGCTTGGAGCCCAAGTAACCTTCTAATGGCAGTATCCCATGGGTTCTAGTGATAGCTCTAGAGAAACTAGAAACTGTTAGATCCGTGGGGATAAGATCATCTTCATTTCTACATATCCTCTTCATCTGCTTGTATGGCAACACATTAATTGCAGCTCCACCATCAATCAAAACTCTCTTGAAGGGCACTCTCTTTAGATGAGCAGTTACATATATAGGCTTGAAATGGTTAGCTAGAACCAAACTCTAGCGATTGAAGACCATCTTATCTGAATATACTTTCTATGCTCTTTCATCTGCCTGTTCTGCCTGATTCTCCTTTTCTTGCTTCTTCAACACTGACATGTGCCATCATAGGTTCTGTTGCCAAGTAATCACCTTCCATAGTGGTTGGTTGATCAAGTTTGGCACAAAACATGGCAGATAAAACATATGTCATGTTTACATAGAGTTGTTAGGTTAAGGTAAATCCTTTTTGTTGCCCCTAATGTGGTCCATGAATTCATCTAACCAAGCCTGTGCTTCTTTTGGTAACATTAACTTGGGCTACTATTCCTCCCAGGTTATACCAAAGTTATGTACTTGCACTTGGTCTTCACAAAAAGTATCAACTAGCAACGGTGAGGGTATCCCCCTCTCGTGCAAAATAGTTCCAAAACATATAGGTTATAAGCTCCATCTTAATGTTAGCATCATTACCATGTCCTCTTGAGCTCTCCTCAATATTCTGTACTTTCCTAGATGAGGTTTTTATGGCACATGAACTCATTCCCCTTCAGTTTTGTTAATTGCCTTCTCTACCTCCTTTTTGGTTCTCCAATGAAGCTGATTTCTTCCCCCATGTGGTATCTTTTCAAATTTCACATTTTCAAAGGTTTATGATGTAGTAAGGACTTTCATTGAGTTCATATGAGTTTGGCGTTGCCTCTGGACTCTCATAATCATAGCAGCCCCCATTTCTTTGACAGGCCTCCCATCATTCCTAATTACATACCATTTTCACCCGAGTCGACAGAATCCTTTTTGGTGACTGGAGGCATTGGGTTCCTCACTCTTCCTTTCATCCTGACATCACTTCCATTATAACTTGGTTGTGAAGGCCTTACATCCACCTATCTTGGCATTTTTGCCTCTTTGCCTTTTACTTCTTCTGAGGCTTCATGATTTCTGAACACCTTAGACAAGTCTTTGGGATGAGAATCCTCTCCCAACCTTTAGAAAACATTCCTAGAGGTATCTTTCTTAGTTACCCGCATGATGCTTCTGCGAGCTTCTTGTTCTTCTGACCAGATCTTGATCAATAATAGCTCCAAATGTCTGTACTTCTAGCTCACATTCACATTGGCACTTACTACACAACACCGGCCTTTTAACTATAGTTGCTTTAGGTTTCTTAGGTAACTTGATAGTTCCTTTTATAGGTCTATCCACTGGCTTTCTTTCTGCTTTTACTTCCCACATGGCTTTTCCCTTCCCTTTTTTAGCCCACATCAGGTTGATCATGTTTATTAGGGTTTCTGGGAAATGATCTGTGTCAATCATCATGTTAGCCTGTGGTTTTTCCAACATCAACTTTCCCTTCACTGAGTATCCAATCCCTAAATTGGACACAGTTGGTTATGGAGTGGTTGAAGGTATAGTTTATCTTACAATCCTTCTTTCCTCTTAATTTTTCTGGTTTAGGCATCTTTTTGGTGTCGTCGGGCACAATCACTCTTGCCCGCACCAACTCTTCATAGATCTCCGAGGCCTTGGTCAAATCAAAAGAATAACTCTGGTACTTAGGGGGTTTCATTGGGACAAATCCCCCATCATTCATTACTATCTTCTGATCTTTAATTGCTAAATCAAACCCTTTACTATTATTGGTTTAAAGGGTGTAGTCATTTATGCTGCACACTTGTCCATTCCTTCTCTCTCATGACCATCATTTTCTTCTATCTCTCATTCAAACTCTAGTTGATGAATGGAAACTTTGTTTTTGTAGAATGGAGGCGCTTTAGATGAGTGTTTCACTTGCTGCTGCTCGATGAGCAGTTTTTCATACTTGACGGCACCAATCACCAACTTTTGCAGCTCGTTGAACTATACTTCATAAAACTTTTTCCTTAAAGGCAATCTCAATGCCTTCTGAGCAATGGATATAAGCTAAGCATGATTGATAGGGAATTGGCATCTCATTCTTGTCTTCCGGAACCTTATCATGAAATCCTCAGTAGACTCCCCATTAAGGAACAGAGTTTACTCACTTTTCCTCTGATTTCCAGAGTAACTCTTTCCATAGTTTTCAATACTTGCATCATGGTGGCTTGCAAGTCTTTATTGATCCCCTTTCCTCTTGACTTCTCAGATGAAGTCGGGCTTCCCATAATAGTTGGTCCTTGTAAAGAAGGGAAATCTTCTTGTTGATATGTCATGCTTGATTTTGGTAGACACTTGGGTGGCCCATATTCTGTGTTCCACCTGAAGGTTTTCTCTTTCCTTCTTCTTCTTGGCATACAAGACTAAGGAGATCCCACCGACCGTGCCGAAATTATGTTTGGGCAAAGATTTCTCTGGAGAAGGCTCCTTAAACCTTAGAATAGCTCCCCAAGGGATTGACACTTTGGATGTGTAGTCGGGCTCTTTCTTGTTGATGTGCTACAAGAAGAGAACAAATTTAGTTCTGAAATGTGCCTTTGTGGGGCCTTAGCTGTAGGCCTTGAGGCTCAAATCAAAACTAACTAAGTGCTAGGTGTGCCACTGCTATCTCAGTATAGCAGATGTAGAACAAGTGTGTTTTAAGTTGATTACTTGGGCCCGAAGTTACTCTAACCTCTTGTTATCAAAGGATTCTCGTGGATGGGTTAAGTTCACATTAAGTTCTTTTTCTTGTCTTGTAAGCAAGGACTTTTAATTCATAATCTTGTATGTTCAGATGAAGGGAGTCCATAGCTCCTTAAGTCATTTATCTATTTTCAAACTACTTTTAATGAAGCATGTTGATCAAGTTAACCAAATCCTGAAGCGAATGGAACTTCCCAAAATAGCAAAACATATGGAAATGACTTGAATACATACTAAAAAGTACATTAAGCAATATATCTACTAATTTAGAGAACAAACAAAGAGCTTCGAGCAAGATTTCACCTTGTCTGGCAAGGTTGAACTTCTTGCAGTCATTTCTCTTTGAAGTTACAGGGTTTATATGCTAAAAAGATATAGATGGTAAACAAGTTTACATAAGGGAATCAATACTACACCACTAAGGGAATTAGCAGAGCTTTTTATACTAGACAAGAGATAGTTTTTCTAAGGCCGAATTTGGGTTGATTTCAGCTTTTGGATGCAAATCTAGCTTGAGAACAGAGTTTGTATGTTTGTTTGTTTGATTGGTTACGTGTCCTTGTCTCTGGGGCCTCTTCTTCATTTTATAGACAAATTAGCCCGGTGAAGGAAAAATTTTGTCCTAGCTAAGAACATGTGAGAATATTTTGAACATATGCAAACTATTAACACATTAAAGTAGGCATGATTCAAAAACAATTCTAAAACCCCATGACTTTCAAAGCCTAGTGAATGGTGAACTATGAGACTCTGCAAACTTAACAATATTAAAGAGAAGGTAGGATTTAAAGATTCATTACCCCTTGAAGCTCATCCTTGTTTAACACAAGGGATTCACCCAAGTGGAGGGCCCCTTCAAGTTCACCTCCTACACAGCTCCTTGGACCCACCCTCTTCCTCCTTTTGCTCCTGGCTCCTTCTCCTCCTTAGCTGCCTCTGACCGGAAAGGGATCTTCCCAAACCCACACCAAAGCCGCCTCTTTGTGTCTCTAAGCTCCCTCCCACACCAAAGATGAGTGTGAAGAACTGAAATGGATGACTTAGAGAAGAAGATTGCTAGCTAAATCCTCTCTAAGTGGCCGGCCTCCTTGTTGAGAAAAGAGAGAAGTGTTCACCTCTTTGCCTCAAGAAAAACCTTAATGAGAATATAGCTATAAAGTTAACTTTAATACTACATCAATCTGAGTGGCAAACTTGTAATTAATTCAAGTTTGCATCCACCTCTCCCTTATGGGCCTTTGTTTTTGTTATGGCCTTGCCCATTTTGTTTTAGTTGTCCCATACAACTTACCCAACTAATGGGCCTTTCATGGACAAAACACTTTTGGGCCCCAAACACCAAAAACCCAACTTAAAAGCCCCCCAATACGAACCTTCGTTCCAAATTAATTAACTAATTAATTAATCTTGACCATTTTCAATTAAAATTTAATTGCATATCCATTTTCATTATATTTCTTCACTTTCATCCTTACTCGGTGTTCACGATCCATTAGGTTCCAATTAGCGAGGCAGTGGCGCATTGTTACTCTTAACGATCAATTAATGAATTGAAACTACATTTCAATTCTCCCTTTGATTAAGATTAGTGTTTGCTAATCATTAGGGCTTCCACAAACCATGAGTGACACCTAGCAGCATTGTCATGGTTACCCAAGCCCTAAAG